GTAATAAATTATAGTAAAATATATTTCATTTTAATTTTTTTGTTATTTAATTAAAATATAATTGTTTACGATAATGTGTCATTTAAGAAATTGATAAAAAAATATCAGAAATTACACTTAAAAATTATGTTAAAAATTTGTATTGTCATAGATAGTGTAACCGGTTTGCCTATTGCACATTCCGAGGAAAAAAGAAAATGTAAAACAAAATAAATATTATTGTTCGTTGAGTTTATGCAACCATAGATTACAACACAAAAATAGAATTTGGCGTAAGTATACATTTTGAACTACTATCGTCTTGTAACAAATAATAATGGTATAAGTACCAGATATCGTTCCCACAGAGAAAATTTTGTAAAATTCTTCAAGAGTCCAGTCTATAAAAACTAATTTCAGATGATGAAATGAGTGATTTGTTTTATCTGAAATTGAGAGATTTGATTAGAAACTAAGAAAATATCAGTTGTAAAAAGAAGCACGTGGTGCAAAGGTTAATTAAGACACAAAAATAGATGATCAGGCAGAAAGGTGACATGGCATTTCAGTCACAATTCCATAAAACCACAAGATGATTTTATAAAATTGTTACAATATTAGCTATCGTGTCTGACGGCCTCTCAAGAGTACATACAGGTCAATGTGCTATCGATATTGTATCATTTATGTTAGACGTCGTGAATTTTAGCACAACACAGTGTTATCATCCTACACCGTAGGGGTATAGTACTTGTCAGATAGTAAAACTATTTATAGCCTTCTCCTATTACCTCAAGTTTTACTATTTATCTTAACTCTGAAAGTTAATGCATTTTTATACATAAAATTAGTTGTCAATTAATTTTAATATAATCTTCAATGAAATATTAATCATCTGAAACAAATAGTTAGACTATAATACTAATAAGACACCTCTGTACTTTCGCATCGGCTTTAGTCTTAATTTTCTCTTACATCCCAAGCTAAGTCGTTTAGCCCATCATTGCTCGATTTCTTTTCACGAATGATGTAAAGACTGAAAAATAAATAACTGATACGAAAAAGTAAATTGCAGAAATTAAATTGCGAGAAAATAAAATACTGGAATTTAAAGTACATAATATAAATGACTGAAATTAAATTGCTGGAAATTAAAATGCAGAAAAATAAATTGCAGAAAAACAAAGTGTAGAAATGAACTGACTAGAAAGTAAAGTACTAAAAAGTAAAAGATTGAAATTAAATTGCTGAAAAGTAAATGCTAGCAGTTAAAATTATTCTAAGAGAAGATATAAGTAAAGACTTGTAGGAAGGAAGCTAGAGAATACTTGCACTCTAAGTTACAAAACTTGCAAGACAAGTAAAGACTTGTAAGGAGGAATATTAGAGAAACTTGCACTCTAAGTTACGAAACTTGCAAGACAAGTTTCGTCACTAAAAGTGAAGAATAACTTGCAAACACTTGAAAACAGATTCTTTTATCTATAAAAATTAATTGTGAACCACAAAGGATGAAATCCAATATAATGCAACAGAGATCGATTAATTTCAACTTGTAACGAAAATCCGAGAACTTTTGAAAAATCGAGAGCAAGAAAAGAAATGAGATGAAACTTGAACACTTGCACTTTAAATAATACTTGAGAATAAGATAACAAATTTACTTCAATAAATTCGGTTCTTGTTTGTAAGCAAGAAAACCGAAAGTTAAACAAAATATTAGAGAGAGTAATAAAACCCAAAGGTTGTATGTGTTTTTAGCCTAGAATTAACTCATATTTAGGGGGTGTTTGAGATTACTTATAAAAACAACTTATTGACTTATTCCGGTGTGACACCGGTAATAAACACTTTTGAGTGTTTGGATAAACAGCTTATACCGGTGCCAAACCGGTAATAAGAAGTTTTTAAATAAGTTAAATCATCATAACTTATAATAAGTTGATAAGAACTTTTATAGAAAAACATAAGTTGTTTCAAATAAACAATCCCAAACACCCCCTTATAGTGAGTTTGAAGTTTACATAAGGAAGCTATCAAATAAGACAAAAGGAAGCTTACAAACAGGCTTCAACTAAGCCTAAGACCTTAGAATCTGGCATCTCCAAGGGAGCAGCCCAAAAATTTCGGTCCAAGGAAAGAGTGCAGCCTACTGCTTGGTGTTACAAGACTGTTGCCAACATGCTCATATAGGACTGCTACAAGACTTGGCCAAGAATCATCAAAAATCTGCATAAACAAAAAAATAACATTAAATATGATATAATACTACTAATATATTTTTAAAAACATAAAATGACTTAAAAAGACTCAATTTAGACACTAATGTACAATGAAAATGATTAAGAAAATTATGTAATAAGGTTAATAAATTAACATTTATCCATTATTAATCTCTTTATTGTTGATAAACAAATAAATAAATTTAAATTGATATATTACTAAACATATTATGTTTTTAAGATTAGAAAAATTCTAAAAAACCAAACAAACTTTTTTATTTTTACGAGAAAATTTAATAATGAGTTTTTTCAATTAAAAAACATCGTTCAATTTAGTGGCTTAATCCTTTAAAATGAAAAAGTTTAATGGTTTTTCAATAAAAAAAATTATATCTATACTATATTATAAAGCATTTGGCTAAAAACTCTTAAAAACTCTTAAAACTCTTAAACCCGTTCATCCTTAAACAATTTCATCYYTATCCRATTTCATCTCATAACTGAATTCGTGTAACTAACTGCAGATAAACACAATCAAATACAGGATAAACATCTCATTTTAAATATAAAAAATCTAAAATATAATTAGG